GGGTCCGGGCTGGGGATTCAAACCCGCCACCTTAGGTGTACGTGGCTGGTGCCTTAGCCAGTTGAGCTATAGGCGCCAGGCCACCTACAGCAACTCTTATTCAGTATGCAGATGACATTCTTTTGGGAGCACCAGATGCAGAGGAATGCCACAAAACTACACAAATTCTATTAGACTTTCTAGCTGATTGTGGTTATAAAATTTCCAAGGCTAAAGCCCGATTATATGTCCCAGAAGTTCACTATTTGGGTCTCCAGCTTTCACAGGGGAAGAGAGCCTTGGGCAAAGAAAGAGTAGAATCAATACTGGCTCACCCTAAATCTCGAACTCTCAGACAACTTCGAGGCTTCTTAGGAATTACAGGCTTTTGCAAACTCTTCATTCCTGAATATAGTGAAATAACTAGACTACTCTATTCTTTAATTAAAAATGCTCAAAAAGAGGGCCTAGTCACTCTAGAATAGGAACTGGAAGCAAATAAGGCATTCCAACAGTTGAAAACTGCTCTTTTGCAGGCCCCGGCTTTGAGTCTTCCTACTGGACAACAGTTTAATCTGTATATTAAAGAATGAACCGGAATCGCTCTGGGAGTTTTGGCCCAATACTGGGGTTCAGTTTTACAACCTGTAGCATATCTTAGTAAAGAAATTGACACTATGGCCAAGGGATGGCCACACTGTCTACGGTTTGTAGCAGCAGTTTTTACCTGGGGCTGGGTTTGAACCCGCCACCTCCAGCATATGGGGCCAGCGCCCTACTCTTTTGAGTCACACATGCTGCCCAGCTTTAGCCCTCTTAACCCCAGAAGCAACCAAGCTAACTTTAGGAAGAGATCTAATTGTTTACACTTCTCACGACCTTACTATACTTTTAAATTCAAAAAGCAATCTTTGGCTGTCAGATAACCACCTTCTTAAATATCAAGCCTTATTATTAGAAGGACCAGTGCTACAATTACGCACCTGTGCTGCTCTGAATCCTGCTACTTTCCTCCCTGAATCAATGAGGATATAGGGTATGATTGCCAACAAATTATAGCACAGACCTATGCATCTAGAGAAGACTTACAAGAAACCCCCCTATCTAATCCTGACATGGTTTTGTATACAGATGGAAGTTCTTTCTTGGAACATGGAACTCGAAAAGCAGGCTATGCTGTATGCTGTAATTGAGAGTGGGTCTCTCGCTCCAGGAACCACTGCACAATTAGCTGAGTTAGTAGCCTTAACCCGTGCTTTAGAAATTGGGAGAAACTGGCTCCACACCTGTGGCTCGAGTGTCTAAGGCGCCAGCTACCTACACCTGAGCTGGCAGTTTCGAATCCAGCCCGGGCCTGACAAACAACAATGATGGCTGCAACCAAAAAATAGCGGGGCATTGTGGTGGGCGCCTGTAGTCCCAGCTACTTGGGAGGCA